CAACTTCAGCCATAGTCTCTTTCACATAAGCTGGATCTAACTCTTCAATATCACGATGTGTTGATGCTTTGGTCCAACGCTTTAATATTTCATACGACTTGAAATTCGCTGTTAGAACGATCTGGCTGATCACAACTTCACTGAAGAAACCAATTTCATAAAACAACTTTTTCATTTCATCTTTTGTCAAATAATGGGTACCAAGTACCTCGGAATGATCAGCTCGTTTAGGGCCAAACTTATCCGCACACAAAATAACCAGTTTACCTCCAGACTTCAAAGATTGGTAGGCTTTCTGTATGTAAATCTTCTTATGCTCGTGTGGAAACCAGTGAAATGCATTCATTGTTATATGAACGTCATAGTATGGCGAATTATCGTTTGGGAATCCAGTCACACTATCACCAACATGAAACTGAAGATTATCAACCTCTTGGTATTTCTCTTGAGCTATTTTGATTCTCTCAACATCTGGATCAACTCCCACCGTCTCACCACAAGACCCAACAATATCAGCGATGTATTTGGTGAGATTTCCCGTACCACAGCCCATATCAAGCACTTTGGCCCCGGGGGAGAGATTCACTTCATCAATAAACTTACAACCAGCTTCGTATTGCGGTTGGTTCAGTTCTTCGTAAGCTTTTGCATCGGATTCCATGATCGTCTTGTGCAACACAACTGAGTGTTTATATTAACTGCCTTTCATCAATCGACCTTCTATACAACATGGTTATTGTCTTATTGTCTTCATGTACTTGATTTGGGAAACTTAACCGGATTAAAATTAATCACTTTACATATTTTATCAAATTAAACATTCTTACAACAAATCAGTCTCATTTTTCTCTTATACCTTTAATTGCCGTTTAGACATTTGCCCTGTGCAGAACTTACTCGACTATTTAGCGCTAAATTAGATATATTACCACCCTCAGCACCCACATGGGGTTGTCTGAATTACGGAACGGATGCATCCGCCGAAATTTTTCAGTATGTAATGCAACGTGAGCTACTCAGCTTACAAGGATTTTAGAAGTGTTTATATATTAACTGCATTTCATCAATCGACCTTCTACAACATTAAGCTATAGATTTGGGGAACTTAACCAGATTAAAAATCACTTTATTTTATCAAATTTTAGTCATTCTTTCAACATATCTCATGTTTCTCTTATACCTTTAATCGCCGTTTAGACATTTGCCCCGTGCAAACCTCGCCTAGATTATTTAGTGCTTCGTGGTTTATCTGATGCATGGCCTTCTTTAATTTTTAATTTTAAACTCTCGATGCATGGGCGCACACATACTTCTACGTATAACCTTCTCACCGATCAGATAATCTAGCTTTAATTTTTCGTGCATGTCAGTTATGTTTATCGTCAGTATAAGTGCAAAGGGCATTAGGGCAAAGTTTTCATAGTTGGCGCGGCTATTTCCGCTGCGAGATGCGGTTTATCTGACGAATGCTCTGTATTTGAACTTCCGTATACAAAATAAGCTTAGTTCACTCGTTCATATCTATCAAAAGAAGAAAATCGGAACGAAAATTGCAGCAAAAATTGGAAAAGTAAATGGGCTTCGCTAACCCTTAGTAAACCAGGGTCCAGTAGATCAAGCCCATTTAGATTAATGTGTATATGCAATGAAAATTTCGATTTCGTGTTTTTTGTATTTTCTAAAAATTTGTTCTTTCCCGATCATAAAGATACCAACACTGTCGACAAATTCGGACTAGAAGTACTGAGGAAAAAATTAGGTTTAAAGTTGAGCTATGAAAATAAAAACTGTTGAAATTCCTCGCGCGGCGGGGAAGGTCGTGATGACGTATGCAGTGTGACACAGTGCGCTCTTCCTATTTAGAAATACTATAAACATTGCACTGTCTACCACGTAAAATCGCAATATTTTTGCAATTTGATGAGCTCCCAAAGAAATATGCATCTTGTAGATGCAGTGTATTAGTAAAGTAAAGAGAATAATCTCAAAAAAATACATCAATTTTCACTTTTTAGTCGCTTATAAGCTGCCGAATATTAGCAAAAATTGATGCAGCTCAGTTGTACTTTGTTTCGCTAAATTCTTTTTTTTTTTAAAAATACCTGAGATACAATTTAATAAAACATAATAATGCTAAAAACCTAGACTAAAAATTAGTATATTCCATAGATACAAATGTTCTAAAAGACCCATGCACTTTCTAGTTAAGTCTTTTTAAAAAAGAATAAAAAAATTAGAAAATTAAAGTTCGCATAAATCTAAGGTAAAGAGAATTATATACAATATTTCATGCTCATACAGTTAGACGTTTTTTGAGTCTCTCAATAAGTACATCGTCCTTCCACTAATGCTAGATCGATCTCTCCTCCAAAGGAGGAGATTGGTCGATGTAAAGAAGATCTAGCCCCACGCAAGCACATAATTGCTGATCGTAACAGCGAAAAACTGAGTCTACATCTCATCCAGTTGATTGTCTTACTATACGCTTTATCATGTTTATCAGCGATTAGAGATGCAATTCTCTTATAAACTACGTTTGCAGTGGAGCCCATACCACCCGCTGTTGAGAAAACAAGAGGGGAGAAAGACCCATGTTCTACTTCACGGATTCGTTCATCATATGCTCTTCTTTTCTCAAGCTCATTTCTGCGATAGCATTGGGAGAGAGATGTATTACGATAGCTCGGTGCCAAGGGATTAAAAACCCTAACATCAAAAAATGCACGTTGCCGATCACCTCCCCAAAAACTTTCAGCTACGATGTCAAGTCGAGCTTTATTGCTGTGTCACACTACATACGTCACGAGTTCTGCACTCTCGGTACCAGTCTTTCAACAGTTTATGATTGAAAAAACGCGTAATTATCGTATGTTTTAGGCCGTTTTAAAGACTTTATCAGCATTTTAACAACCAAAAAACATTTTTACCGAATCAAGGGCAGTAAAGTCTTTCGGAATTTCACAATTTTAATTTTTTCATTTTTCCGGCTTGCATATACAAACGTTGGATAAGTCAAAACACTCAAAATTAAATGACACTCTTACGTATCAACTTGAATATTATGCATAATGCACTGGATATGTAGTTGTAAACAGTATCTTTTTGTACCCAAATCCATGGGAGTATTAACATGACATGACAATTATACTACGAGCTCGAGCCGAATATGAGCTGACTGAAATTATTATCCCAGAGACCCAGAGCGCGGACACAAAGGACCTACTTGGACAAAGGTGTAACTGTTGCATATTAAACGCTAATGTTTGAGTGTAACGAAAAGCTTATTGCCAAGCCCGTTTACTTTTACAATTTTTGGTGCAATTTCCTGTGCGATTTTCTTCTTTTGATAGATACGAACGAGTGAACTAAGCTGAATTTGTATACGGAAGTTCAAATATAGAACCCCGATCGTATGAGCCGGGCTGGCCCGCTTTGCCGGCCTGACTCGCCAGAATCGAGATCCCGCTTCCTAAGTTGTTTCTATATATTTTTTTGAAATTTGATTCACATGGAAAGCGGGCCAGCCCACTTTGCCGAGATCTCGCTTGAGGGAGGCGAGATCTTTGATCGCTGATCGCTGATCTTTGATGATGATGAAAATCGTTGATCGCTTTCTCTACAATTATACCTTCACAGCATCATTTCTACATTTTGTATTTATTTGCAAACCAAAAGAACACGATACATTTCAAAAATTAACGAAAAATATCGTCCCAAAACCGCTGTAATCGATGCAAGCAACATTTTTCAATTTTTGTAGGCATCAGCGAATTATGTAACGCTACCGGGCTAGCCCGCTCCGTGTGAATAAGAAAATGAACTAGCCGGGCAAAGCGAGCCAGCCCGGCTCATATGAACAGGGCCTTAGTAGGATAAACTTAACCGACATGCACAAAAAATTAAAGCCAGATTATCTGATCGGTAAGAAAGTTATACGTAGAAGTATGTGCGCCCATGCATCGAGAGTTTAAAATTCAAAATTAAAGAAGGCCATGCATCAGATAAACCACGAAGCATTAAATAATCTAGCCGAGGTTTGCACGGGGCAAATGTCTAAGCGGCGATTAAAGGTATAAGAGAAAAATGAGGTATGTTGAAAGAATGACTAAAATTTGATAAAATAATCTGGTTAAGAGTCCCAAATCTATAGCTTAATGTTGTAGAAGGTCGATTGATGAAATGCAGTTAATTAATATAAACATGCAATTGTAAAATCCTTGTAAGATCAGTAGCTCACGTTGCATTACATACTGCAAAATTTCGGCTGATGCATTCGTTCCGTTGTTAAGTTTCGTAATGTTGACATCTCTCTATCCTCAGTCAGAAGCACAACACACAATCTTTGGAAGCTTTTTTCATCTAATGTATTTGTTACACAATCACTCGTATTTATATGATTACAGCAATTTGGATTAATCTATCTTTACACAGTTATTTTACTATAAATGGAATACAGTTTTCATAAGAGAATGAATATATACTTTTATGGTAAGGTATGTGACCGTTCAGTCCGAATATCCCTTTTCGGTTACATAGTTTTCTCTACACTTATTTATATAATAAATATGTATTTATATCTGAATCTATTTTCGATCACTGTGGTCTTATTTTTGGTTAGTCTATATGGTTAGTCTTTATTACGTTAATCATCACTAGTCTAATTTTGTTTAATTGGATATATGAGCACATACTTCAACATCCGTAATTCAGACAGCCCTATATGTTGGTGCTGAAGGTGGTAATATATCTAATTTAGCGCTAAATAGTCTAAGTTCTGCACAGGAAAATTGTCTAAACGGCGATTAAATGTATAAGAGAAACATGAGACTTATTTGTTGTAAGAATGTTGATAAAGTATAATATAAAGTGATTATTTTTAATCAGGTTAAGTTTTTCAAATCAAGTACACGCAGACAATAGGATCTTTATCAATAACCATGTCGTATAGAAAGTCGACTGATGAAAGGCAGATAATATAAACACTCAGTTGTATTGCACAAATGCACAAGACGATAATGGAATCTGATGCGAGAGCCTACGAAGAACTAAACCAACCGCAATACGAAGCCGGTTGTAAGTTTATTGATAAAGTGAATCTCTCCCCCGGGGTCAAAGTGCTTGATATGGGCTGTGGCACGGGAAATCTCACCAAATACATCGCTGATATTGTTGGGTCATGTGGTCAGGCGGTGGGAATTGATCCTGATGTTGAGAGAATCAAAATAGCTCAAGAGAAGTATCATGAGGTTGATAATCTTCAGTTTCATGTTGGTGATAGTGTGACTGGATTCCCCAAAGAAAAGTCGCCATACTATGACGTTCATATAACAATGAATGCGTTTCACTGGTTTCCACACGAGCAGAAGAAGATTTACATACAGAAAGCTTACCAATCTTTGAAATCTGGAGGAAAACTGGTTATTCTGTGCACAGATAAGGTAGGCCCTGGACGAGCTGATCAATCCGAGATGTTTGGCATTCATTATTTGACAAAAGATGAAATGAAAAAGCTGTTTCATGAAATTGGTCTGTTCAGTGAAGTTGTCATAAGCCAGACCTTTCTCACAGCCCATTTCAAGTCGTATGAGATATTAAAGCGTTGGGTCAAAGCGACATCACATCGTAATATTGAAGAGTTATCTCCAGCTTATACGAAAGAAGCTACGGCTAAAGTTGCTACTTTTCACGACAATGGCAGCATCGTATTGAATATACCGTGTCTTCATATCACCGCAATTAAACAATGAAAAGATCACGTTAACATTCGCTGATTCATACGATTAGCTAATATTATATCTTTTAATATGCGTGTGACTACCTTCTAGCTTTATTCGTAATTTTCACTCTTCTTGTTTCCTATAATATATATCTTACACAATCTTTGAAGAAAGAGCTAATTTATTCGTAATAACCCATAAAAATCATGGTTTATTCAACCATGTGTCATCTGCAACGAAACTTGGATCTTCAATGCAGTAATCAATGAACTCAGATTGTATAACTGTTAAAGAATTTATGTTCGTGTTTTGTTTACAAATAAACTCACTTGCTGACCATACAATGAACTCGAAATTTCACAACTGTCTCTAATCCTTAATTAACATGCAAGGGTGGACCCTGGTATGTATTTAATAACCCTGAATTAACCAAGGTGGACCTTGGTAGTTGGTATGTACATAATGTATTTCAGCTTATAAATCTGAAAGAGTAAAAAGCACTGGCTTCAATTTTCCCTCCTGCATGGGTTAATGGTTATCGTTCCAGTTTGCTTACAGTTCAATGGTTCAACCGCGATCAGACCGAGGTTTCACCTAGGTTAATAGACCTTTCTTATAACGACGTCAAACGCGGAAATTATGATGTTACGTCATAAAATTTGATTGGCTCCACAAAATTATCGCCACAGTCAAACTTCGTGTAACTTTATACTTTCCGCGTTTGACGTCGATATGAAAAAGGTCTATTAACCTCGGTTTTTGTCACGTTATTTCTGGACAGTACTCGAAACTCTTCAAAACTCATAAGCATTATCACAGAACCAGTTACACTAATAGAACATTTCAGCATGCAAATTAAATAATTAACCAATTTCTGATGTTGTGACCATGGAATAGCCAATAAAACTTATCCATTTCAGACCATGTGATTTGAAATGGTTTAATTTGCATACAAGCTGAAAAGGTCTATTAAACATTCACTTGCCTTCCGGGAAAGGGATAGATATGACTGTGAAAACAATCAATATCTCAGGCATTAACTGGCATTGTTATACAGTATAGGTGCTGTGTATTTTAAATGTGATTGGTTCATTCGTAGTCACATGACTTTAAATAAATGCAATCCTTCCCGCCAGGGAAACAAGTGAAAAATATTTGCCCACTTCTTGTAATAACAAAGTAATGTGGGTTTACGACTTCTTGGACTCTTGGGAAAACAAAATTCACTATTTCTCTCGGAAGCATACATTAAGTGTATAATAATAACCTTGAATTTGCATAGCATGAAAAATCGGAAGGCTGGCTACGCCACTTGATCGCACAGTGTCTTCTGCACTGGATCGCGTGGTGATCGTACGTTTGTGAGACTTGACAGACTAAAAAAACGATTCTAGTCTGAAGATGACGGGAAACTGATTGTCGGCCTATTCTATACCATGCAAATGTTAAAGCCTCCAGCTTCCGGTTATTATACTTCAATTCTTCTCGATTTTCTGGTCGACTGCTTACATGCAGTTAATAATTATAAACACTCGGGTGTGTTTCACAAGACGATCATGAAATCCGATGCAAAACTTTATTCTAGTCTGAAAATGACGGGAAACTGATTGTCGGCTTATTCTGTAGTATGCAAATGTTTAGACTCCAGCTTCCGGTTATTATATTTCAATTCTTCCCGATTTTCTAGTCGACTGCTTACATGCAGTTAATATAAACAATCCGTTGTGTTGCCCAAGACGATGGAATCCGATGCAAAAGCTTACGAAGAACTGAACCAACCGCAATACGAAGCCGGTTGTAAGTTTATTAATGAAGTGAATCTCTCCCCCGGGACCAAAGTGCTTGATATGGGCTGTGGTACTGGAAATATCACCAAATACATCGCTGATATTGTTGGGTCTTGTGGTCAGACGGTGGGAATTGACCCTGATGTTGAGAGAATCAAAATAGCTCAAGAGAAATATCAAGATTTTCATAACCTTCAGTTTTATGTTGGTGATAGTGTGACTGGATTCCCAAACGATAATTCGCCATACTATGACGTTCATGTAACAATGAATGCGTTTCACTGGTTTCCAAACGAGCATAAGAAGATTTACATACAGAAAGCCTACCAATCTTTAAATGCTGGAGGAAAACTGGTTATTTTGTGCACAGATAAGATAGGATCTGAACGAGCTGATCATTCCGAGGTACTTGGCATCCATTATTTGACGAAAGATGAAATGAAAAAGCTGTTTCATGAAATTGGTCTGTTCAGTGAAGTTGTGATCAGCCAAATCGTTCTAACAGCGCATTTCAAGTCGTATGAGATATTTAAGCGTTGGACGAAAGCAACAACACATCGTGATATTGAAGAGTTAGATCCAGCTTATGTGAAAGAGGCTATGGCTGAAGTTGCTACTTTTCACGACGATTGCAGTATCGTATTGAATATACCGTGTCTTCATATCACCGCAATTAAACAATGAAAAGATCACGTTAACATTTGCTGATATTATTATTAATATTACGATTAATATTATATTTTTTAATATGCATGTGCTTTTAGCTTTAATCGTAATTTTCACTCTTCCTGTTTCCTATAAAATATACCTTACACAATCTTTGAAGAAAGAGCTAATTTATTCGCAATCAACCCATGAAAATCATGGTTTATTCAAACCATGTATCATCGGCAACGATACTTGGATCTTCAATGCAGTAATCAATGAACTCAGATTGTATAAGTGTTACAGACTTTATGTTCGTGTTTTGTTTACAAATAAACTCACTTGCTGACCATACATTGAACTCTAAATTTCACAACTGTCTCTAACCCTTAATTAACAAGGGTGGACCCTGGTATGTATTTAACAACCTTGAATTAACCAAGGTGGACCTTGGTAATTGGTATGTACATAATGTATTTCAGCTCATAAATCTGAAAGAGTAAAAAGCACTGGCTTCAATTTTCCCTCCTGCATGGGTTATCGTTCAAGTTTGCTTACAGTTCAATGGTTCAACCGCGATCAGACCGAGGTTTCACCTAGGTTAATAGACCTTTCTTATAACGACGTCAAACGCGGAAAGTATGATGTTACATGAAATTTCATTGGCTCCGCAAAATTATCGCGACAATCAAACTTCGTGTAACATCAGACTTTCCGCGTTTGACGTCATTATGAAAAAGGTCTATTAACCGCGTTTTTTGTCAAGTTATTTTTGCACAGTACTCGAAACTCTACAAAACTCATCTTGGAAATGTACATTTTATCAGAGAACCAGCTACACTAATAGACCATTTCAGCATTCAAATTAAGTAATTTAACTTATTGCTGATGTTGTGACCATGGAATAGCCAATAAAACTTATAACCAATAATCCATTTCAGACTATGTGATTTGAAATGGTTTAATTTGCATACAAGCTGGTCTATTAAAAATGGAAATACAAAAGGTCTATTAAACACTCGCCTTCCGGGAAAGGGATAGATATGACTGTGAAAACAATCAATATCTCAGGCATTCACTGGCATTGTTATACAGTATAGGTGCTGTGTATTTTAAATGTGATTGGTTCATTCGTAGTCACATGACTTTAAATAAATGCAATCCTTCCCGCCAGGGAAACAAGTGAAAAATATTTGCCCACTTCTTGTAATAACAAAGTAATGTGGGTTTACGACTTATTGGACTCTTGGGAAAACAAAATTCACTATTTCCCTCGGGAGCATACATTAAGTGTATAATAATAACCTTGAATTTACATAGCATGAAAAATCGGAAGGCTGGCTACGCCACTTGATCGCACAGTGTCTTCTGCACTGGATCGCGTGGTGATCGTACGTTTGTGAGACTTGACAGACTAAAAAAACGATTCTAGTCTGAAGATGACGGGAAACTGATTGTCGGCCTATTCTATACCATGCAAATGTTAAAGCCTCCAGCTTCCGGTTATTATACTTCAATTCTTCTCGATTTTCTGGTCGACTGCTCACATGCAGTTAATAATTATAAACACTCAGGTGTGTTTCACAAGGCGATCATGAAATCCGTTGCAAAACTTTATTCTAGCCCGAAGATGACGGGAAACTGATTGTCGGCTTATTCTATATCATGCAAATGTTTAGCCTCCAGCTTCCGGTTATTATACAGGATGTCCCAAAAAAAACGCAACCACTTAAGTATGCAAGAATATTAATACTGTGCGGGTTTGCACCATAGTTCAGCTAAAATGACTTTTAGCATTGTAAATGAAGAATTAAGAGCCATTTTCAATTCCCAGAGGTGCTTATCTATTGCGCTTTAGAGCTGTATTAATGTTCTGCATATTTAAGTGGTTGCTTTTTTTTTGGGACACCCTGTACTTTAATTCTTCCCGATTTTCTAGTCGACTGCTTAGTGCTTACATGCAGTTAATATAAACAATCCGTTGTGTTGCCCAAGACGATGGAATCCGATGCAAAAGCTTACGAAGAACTAAACCAACCGCAATACGAAGCTGGTTGTAAGTTTATTGATGAAATGAATCTCTCCCCCGGGGTCAAAGTGCTTGATATGGGTTGTGGTACGGGAAATCTCACCAAATACATCGCTGATATTGTTGGCTCTTGTGGTCAGACGGTGGGAATTGATCCTGATGTTGAGAGAATCAAAATAGCTCAAGAGAAATACCAAGAGGTTGATAATCTTCAGTTTCATGTTGGTAATAGTGTGACTGGATTCCCAAACGATAATTCGCCATACTATGACGTTCATATAACAATGAATGCGTTTCACTGGTTTCCACACGAGCAGAAGAAGATTTACTTACAGAAAGCGTACCAATCTTTGAAATCTGGGGGGAAACTGGCCATTTCTTGTTTGAATAATATAGGCCCTGAACGAACAGACCAATATGAGCTGCTTAATATCCACTTTTTGACAAAAGATGAATTGAAAAGGCTGTTTCACGAAAGTGGTCTGTTCAGTGAGGTTGTGATGAGCCAAATCGTTCCAACGGCGCATTTCAAGTCGTGTGAAATATTTAAGCGTTGGGTCAAAGCAACA